GTATAAAATGCAACCAAACCATACGTTCAAAAAAACGAAGAAATCATTGCCTACTCGAAACTGGATTTCGATAGTTCGCGGAAAAACGACTCTGTGAGGCGCTTTTTACACGGATGTGACGTCATATTTTGTTGGATGATTCGGAACAAAAATTTCAGCAGTATTCGGCCCCCCTGGGTGGCCCCCTATAGTTTTATGACCGAGCGCGCGCTGTTGACGAAAGCTTTAGTAAATCTGCGCGCGCTCAAAGGAAAATCCTCGAACCGCGCGTGTTTTTCCGATATTTTATGACGTCAGCATGTCAAAAAAATTCAAAATTAACCGTAGATTTTCTCGCATTTCCTTCGGTAATTTTTTGTAAAAATTCGCACAATTCAAGACAGAAACGTTACCTATCACATGACCGTTTTTTGAAGAAATTTGACAGAGCAAGTAGTTTTATTGTTTAAAATAACAAATGAGGTAATATTGGCAAAATCGTCTGAAAAACCACAAGGTTTTTCCCCTCCAAAATGCCAGGCAAACTCACTTTCATAAGATGGCAAAATTTAAAGAAATTTCACCGAAGGAAACAAAAAAAAATAAGGAATAAAGATAAAATATAGCAAAAATGTGCCATTCTTTAGATGCTGTGTTGCCATGGCAACAGCCTCCAACGAAAAAAGTAACAACCTATAAATAACTGTAATTATATCAGTTTCCTTACTAGTAAATATTGGAAACAAAAATTCAAAGACAAAATAACTGGGTTTCCTTTCGAACTCATGTCAGTTAGTGTAGGTCATTGGTAATATATTCTAGGGAGTCACTAAGTTGAAAGCTTAATTCAGTGAGAAATGTTTAGCAAATTTAAAGTCCTGGGTAAGATACTTTCAGGGGGGGATAGAGATAGGGCCTGGTACCGAGAACCATGCTCTCGCAACTTGCAAAGCGATCAATTTCGGTTTGGTCAGCGGTGTTTTCTTCAGGCTTCTTTTCGCGCGCAAAATTCCTTAAAAAATTAATTAATGTTCCTATAAACTATTTCGAGATTATTCTAACACGTTCAATTTGTCCAATGTGGCCGAACTTTCCAGGAGCTGAATTCGTGAGTTCAAGTCCAGGACAGAAAAAGGAAAATTAACCTTCGCGTGTTGACGTTCTCCATAATACCGTGAATTTGGACATTTGACTTTTTTTTTGTTTGCATACGAAGGAAAAGAAATGTAAATGAAAAACGCACGTGCGTTTTGTTTTGCATGGGACGGCAAAGAAATATGCAAAACACACGTGCAGAATATTGTATACTAATTAAACCTATTGTCTTGTGACGTTCTTGTTGTCGTCGCGCTCGTGGTTGCATCTTAAAAACGAAAAACTTGAGGAAGAAGTTTATCTGGTTTAAAGGATCGCAAAGTGAAAAAATACAATAATCATTCATACATCAGTACGCACTTCCCATCGCCTCATCGGGCCGCCATGTTTTTCTTTTATAGCTTTCCTTCTGGCTTTACACAACTTCTACGCACGTGCAGATGATGAATCCGCTGGCTAAAGTTGTGATGATTGCTTTGCAAGTTGTGAGAGCATGGTTTGGATTTGATTTAAGAGAATGTATGGGAAGTAGCTACCCCCCCCCCCCCCCCCCCTGGATACTTTACTCTCAGAGGCCCGCTCTTTCCATTCAGAAGTATAAATGGATACCAGTGACCAGGAATGACTTTGAGTAACCGCGAGTGACCACGAGTCTGGAATACATGAAAATATGTTGCTGCGTGAAAATGACGAGTTTATGTTGTTATTGTCTCCATCAAAAACAATTGCAAACTTTTTGGCTAAGTATTATTTTGTAAATTTAACTTAGTACATACCCCTCCCGTTCAAACGTATCTTGTAAGACCGTGCAGGGTCTGGGCAGAAATTCTGGGGTCTTGCCTCCTTTGATGCGGTTGTTAAGTTCACAGGATTTTGAAATTATGACGTAGTTATAGCTCTGACAGGTGATTTCTCTTTCGCATCCGACATCACACTCGTAAGGGCTGTTACTGACATCTTTTTAAAGACGAATCCCTTGAGAGCCATTTGATGTATAGTTATGTTATCTTCAGCAGACACGAAAAAGAAGTTTAAGGCGAGCAAAAAGAAACAAGGAACTGCACTCCACCGCATGTTTCCAACCATTTGTAACTGCAAGAAGATAGCGGATGATATAGCAGATATAGCCGTACGAACCCACAATATTCAAACACAATTTTATTTCTATAATTTTATATCATATTTTGTTAATAATGACGCTATAAGTCACGTGGCCGTTTTCTATTTCTTTTATAAAATAACCCCCCCCCCCCCCCCCCCCCAAATACAATGCTACGTTATAACATGTTTATATAATATAAACATCATGTTAAATGACTACACAACCAATCCGACTCGAGCACTTTAAGGCCTGGGTTTGACCTTGGCTTCAAATCATATCATGATCAACAATATCTCTGGTTAGATTTGTTCTAGCATTTGTTTTTCCTGATTATAAAACTCGGTATTCTATTTTGGCTTAATATATAATTTTGAATTTTTCTGATCACGTGACTTGTCACGTGTTAAGACTTGTTAAGACCTAACTGTGTGCCAAATTGGTTCCATTGCCATTCTCACCAGAAATATAACAAATAAACTATTTTTCCCAGTAAAAGTCTTTGACCCAGGCCTTAATGTGCTTGAGGAGCGACAAATTAATGACATTTTATGGCATCGATCTTCAAGTTCTGCTTTATATTAGCAAGGGCTGAACACCGTGTTTTACTTCTACAAATGAAGTGGGAAATTTCAATTGCGGCAGCTACATTGTACAGTAAAAATAAAACAAAATAAACAACTTTATGTGTCAGAGGATTTAGCACTGCTATATACTAATTGTGGACACTGTAAATGAACAACAAATATATATCATTGTAAATAGAACATAAACTTGTTAAGAATCCCAACTGGTGGGAGGCTGTCCAGTTGGCTATTTACAAAGCGTGGCCGAGGAGTTGAACTCGGGACTACCGAGAGCAAATCCAGCTAGTGGCAGGGTGGAGGATTTGAACCAGGGACCTCCAGATTTCAAATCCAGCGCCCTAAACCACTCGGCCACGCCGCCTCCTATAAGGAGTCATAGATGGAGAGAATAAAAGGCGTTAGTGAATGGTTGACAAACCTCAAAATACTGCTTTGTTGAGCTGATTCAGGTAATGTGATGGACTATTTCTAAATCCCTTTCTGAGCGCTTTTTATAGTTTTATCTAATTACCGACTGCTGTTTGCACGTTGATGGGCGTAAATAGTAATTTTACAACCGTGTGCCTAAAAGCAAGTAATAGGTGAGTACCGTCCCCCGCACAAACACGTACATATAATGATATAAATATTAAAACGAACGAGTTAAAAGATGTCGCCAGTCGCCTCTTTTATTATCAAGTAAGTAATTTTCAATGTATGTCGTTAACACAAACAGGTGTATATGATTTCAATCGCGTTTGTACTATCCTCGCTAGTCAGTGAGGTGTTTGACCACTCGAAAATAAGATTCATATCTTCGCGCCGCCGTGTCACCCTCTATATATCTTATTCTATTACGTATAGTTTATATACCAAAAGTTTATATAAATTAAAAAGAAAATGACAAATTGGAAACAACTTTAGACGAGAGAGGAAGTGGTTCACATAATAGCTGGAGTACAGACAATTCACATACTTTTGAGTTGTTTTCGGTAGTCCCCCGTGTTCAACTCCTCTGTTTGTCGCGCTATCTAAATAGCCAATTGGTCAGCCTCTCACCAGTTGGGATTCTTAACAAGCTATACGGTGATCTGTTTGAACTTAATTTACATTGTCCACATTTATCACAGCAGCGCTAAAAACACCGACACTTAATTAGAGTCATTTATTATTAGGACTCTTTTTAGAAGCTTTTATGAACTCGATAAGAATAGCTGGTCGCGTTCATAAAAATCCAGGAACTTCTATAATGATAAATTACAAGGAAGCCGAAACTTTGAAGGAGCTATGTCACGATATTTAAGTCATTTTTGCGAAGTGGAAAATCACCTTCAAATTGCACAAAGCCTCAAAATAATAATTTACTAAGGTAGAAAAACACCAAAGAGGTGATAATAACCAAACAGGAACAAGGATTGGTTGAGGATGGAGAAGATTAAGACGGATTGCGAATGGCGAACTTGAAAAAATTGGCCAATTTTTTCAAGATGCGCCATCCGTGACGTAGCTCCTTTAAAGTTGAGGGAGTTGTAGATTACAAATGTACTTTTTTATTGAAAAAAGTTTAACAGGAATTGCGCTTGCGATAATAACTCTATAGCTATGCGACTGAGGTGTAGACAACACAGGCTAGGTGTTGATACAGCAGCGTTTTATTTATATGAAGTCGTTTCTTGAGGCTTCTCAGCCTTAAAAATAACTGAGCCATATGAAGTTTAAAGGAAGTGATAAAGAGACTAATTGATTTTCTGTTGTCTATAGCTATGGACATCTCGTCTCCATATTGACAGTTAATATATTTGGTTTGATGAAATAGTAACACCCATTAAACCCATTACTTCAAGGGACTCTAAGCCTTGATGTATTCTTTATGTAATTTGGATAATTTAGTATTCCACTATTACGCCATTTGACCAGAAAGTGAGCGTATTTCACTGTAGTATCTCGTTGTCAGCAAGAAAGGATGCCCAAGATAACGATTTTCCCGTTCCCGCCTAATTCAGTTTTGCAACACATTGTCCTAACTATTTTTATCACGTTTTCTTTGACTTGCAGTTCGTAGCAACATCCTGTTGTCGTTTTTTTTACTTTCACCCGTATTTCGATCAAATATATGATATTTTATGTATTTACTTCGTATATATATTCTTCTTCTTCTTCTTCTTCTTCTTCTTCTACGTGTATATTACGAACTTACAAAGTGACCAGCACCCATTTGACTTGATAGCTCAGTTGGTAGAGCACTGCACCGGTACCCATTTGACTTGATAGCTCAGTTGGTAGAGCATTGCACCGGTATAGCAGAGCTAATGGGTTCGAATGTCGTTCAAGCCTGAATTTGTTTTCAGGATTTCTTTTCGCAATTGCTTAAGTCGCGCTACATATCTGCCGATGGTCTTTCATGTATTAAATCCTTCACCCGAAGTTCAAAAATATGATATTTTATATATTCACTTCATATATCCTGTTTTTTGTTTCGCCTCTTGTTTATTCAGTGACCTCGCGGCTTGATAGTGTCAATATCCCGGTTGAATGTTGTTAGTATTGAGCGAGGCCCCGAGCCCTGTACGGAGGAATCGTTCCCTTACATCATACTCTCTTGGTTGTGACGGTAAATAAGAAGTAGTATATAGTGTAGTGGAATGATAAATCCCTTTAGTTATTGCATTAAGGTATTCGTTTTTACCGATGATAATAATAAAGGTAACAGTAAGAATATAGGTCCAAAAATACGGTATGCTAATCGAGTAAAGAGTAAAGTTAACAAAGGGAAGTGTAAATATCGAGGATATATCTAACTGGATTTATAATAAATAACATGGTCGCAGAAAATTACACCATGCATTCTGACCATTTTGACGCTTTTGGGGTTTTTTCTCCAAAGTAGACGATACAATAAGACGAGGTATGCCAGTTCTTTTTTTTCTCTCTTCCCTCTCTTCTTTCTCCTTTTCGCTCTTCTTTGGTGTGGTTTCTAGTCTTATTGGAGTGATACAACTGGAATGTTGGCGTAGTTGCAGAAAAAATGCTGAAATTTTCTTGAGCCACGTTCTTATAAATTCAGTTATATATATATATGTCGCCATTCACTGCATTAGAGTCTCTCGCGGTGCTGCTTAAAAGCCACATAATGAAGGTAAGCATAGACACGTGGATGGGTAAAGATTTGACTGGATAGAGCTGGCATAGACACTTCACTGAATTCAAGCCACATAACATATGTCCGTTTCCATGATAAGACCTATTTTACAAGAAGAAGAGTTTGCCAAATTTGTACTTAGGTTAAGAAATGAAGTCTTTATTACATTGTTATTTGTAATAAACATGTCGACTTTTTCTTATAAAAAAGATTCTTATACAAAAAGAAAGAGTGTAATGTAATAAAATGTAATTGAAGTAGCCGACTTTGTTTGCTAATGTCTGCACCGACTTTGAAAGAGTCGAATTTACTGTAAATGCCGATTAATGTGAGAATGCAAAAACTTACTCAATGTGTCGGTTGAAAGAATAAATATTTTATTCACAGTGCAAATGAGTGATTGATTGACGAGTTCTCCGTTACGTTAGCTTTCCGTGTTTTCAAACACGGAAAATTACCTCTTTAACGAAGCTGAAAATGTAAAGGCGAAACACCAATAAATTTCTCAAATGTATGTTTACCGAGTACAGAGTGAAGAAATCATGGGCTTCAAAATTACATTTGAATACAGAAAATAGACAATATTCGTATTCTCACGGTTGGAATGGAACTAGCGTGCAATCGAGGCTCATGCGGGGAATATCATTAAAAATATTTGCATTTGAAAAGATTTCCCCGCATGAGCCTCGATTGCAAGCTAGTTCCATTCCAACCGTGAGAATACAAATATTGTCTATTGCTGGTTTGCAACCATTCCCGAGAGATTTAAGTGACAAAGACCCTAGCGGCCATGTTGGATGACAGGAACAATAAAGATAAGAATTATTTTGTTAATGGTCATCCAACATGGCGGCGATGACGTCAGTTGCAAACCAAGAATTGACAGCGAAATGGTAAATGCATTTTATTGCTTTGAATGTAGATGGAAATAGCAGCTGGAGTTGTTTTCGGTAGTCCCGTGTTCAACTCCTCTGTATGTCGCGCTATCTAAATAGCCAATTGGTCAGCCTCCCCCCGGGAGCCTCCCGCCAGTTGGGATTCTGAACAAGTTTATATTCAATTTGCCATACTGATTTGTTTTAAATAGAGTCATTTATTATAAGGATTCTTTTTTAGAAGCCTTTATGAACTCGATAAAATAGTCGCGTTCATAAGTTCATAAGTCCAGGAACTTCTATAATGATAAATTACAAGGAAGCCGAAACTTTAAAGTTAAGGAAGTGCTGATAACAAATGTCCTTTTATTCAAAACTTCTGAGCCTTAAAAATAACTGAGCCATATGAAGTTTATATGTAAAGGAAGTGATAAAGAAACTAATTGATTTTCAGTTGTCCGGCTCAGTTTATGGACATCTCGTCTCCATATTGACATTTATTCTTTTAGTTTAATGAATGGTTACTCTAATTGTCTTTTCTTTTAAAACCCATTACTTAAAGGAAATCTTAGCCTTGATGTTTCCTTTAAGGGATTTGGATAATTTAGTTTTAGATTGAACAAGTTTGTTCGGTCCCTATTGGGGAATATTGTAGGCTCGATTTCCGAACAGCGGCTGGTAACTGAATCGAACCTAGGGAAATTGGTCTCGTTCTTTTTTTGCAAGTTTTGGACCTGGCATTCGACTCGGCCATTAACTTGCAAAAGCAGAACTCGACCAATGTTTCGCCAATACGGACCTCATGCTAGTTCAGTAACATATATTTATTATTTGTTAACACCACTAACAGTGAGACACATCGTGCCGTTTGGTTATATGAGCTTGTAAAATATGTTTTGATTGACTCTTGACAGTTTTATGACATTTTATGACATCTTTCTTCTTGCTTTTAGCGATAGGACTATGCACGTTTTTCACTTTTTGACAAGTTTATTAATAACTTGGACAACTCGAATTTCGGCAGCTGGTTATACAGAAGGAAAAGATCGAGGTGTTCATTTACTTGTTTCAGTCCCTAACATCATATAAACAAAGAGTAAGTACTTCAGGTTTGCATTATTGCTGTATGTTCTCAGTTGTAAATATGTTTATGTTAACTTTGTAGTTATATTTATCAACACTGTGGCCTGTATAAGAACGACTGATATCTCTAACGTTTTTCTTAATATATTATGGAAATTTTCTCCTACCCCGCTTGATGTGCGTTTCAACATGTGCAGTAAGCTTTGAATCCACTCATTTTCAACGGGTCTTCATGTTTCCTCCGCGGTGTTTTTCGCTGCAGTATCGGAATAAAACAAACCATTCGTTTAGTTTCGTTAGTTGCAAACAAGACTGAGGCTCAATAATCCTTTACCCAGCATATCCCAGCAGGTCATTTTAATTTTAGTTCAGTGAACATATTAACCATACTAGTAGCATGTTACCTGGTATCTTCACTTGTTGTTGAAGGAATGCCGAAAAGGTATACATATATATTCTGATAACATTCTTGCTTGGCCATGGGCTGCCTGCTGTAAACATACTCGAGGCTGGTCGAGACTGAGTATACAAATTTGGCATTTCTTAGCTATCTTGCTTCTCGGGCATGTACGGGAAGTATGTATTGGTAGAGTTACCGACTGAAATTTCATATCAACCAGATAAAAAGAATAATTTTGTGTCTCAGAAATAGACTGACGTAATTTTACATCGAGTAAGATGCTATGTTGCGAATGTTGAAATAGCTTTTATGTTTTCTATTAATAGTGCATTAGTTCAGAAAACTCTGTCATTATGAATTGCATGGAAGTTAATTTTAAAAATAAGGCGGTTAGTTTATTGAACGGGATTTGCGTTTGAGGTAATTATTCCCTAGCTTCGCAGTTAAGGTATAAACAGCACCCATGCATTTATTGACATAGAGGCGTTTCTCTCAGTTCCAAGTTGTTTGGTGAGGCGTGTCAGCCTTAATTAAGTAGAATATGTATAAAGTTATAAGTAACTCCTGCCAAGCGAACAGAACCTTTCCACCGCCAAACAACTCATAACACGAACATCATGAACTTACAAATTAATACTGAAACATCGCATGTCTCAAGTCAGTGGGCAGTAGAGAACATTATTTTCCACCGAATGAGCTAGAGAGCAGGTGTTTCTTCAACACTTCATCCAAACTCTATTTGACTAAATTGTACTTCCTGTATCTCAGTTTCATTTACCATGGAGTTTTCATAGCAATTACTCCGTTTTTAATTTCTTTTCGTCGTGAAGAATCCGCGCGGAACTATCGTACTGAAATAAATAAATAGAGGTCTACAAACAAGATAAAAAAACTAATCTTTATTCAGAAGGATGAGTGCTTGACGTGAACTCAGCCAACTCTCATTGATGAACATTTTGTTATTCTAATTTTCAACCTCCGAAATTTCCATGACCTTTTTGCCATTATTCCGACCATAAAGATTAGTCATTCATTATTTCAAAAGCCAACCAGGTCCAACCAGCTTTAAATGTCGTAATCACATAACAAAATTCTCGAAAGTGATTGGTAACTCAAAATTACCTTTTTCCCTCGAATTTTGTCATAGAGATGATTGAGGGTTAGCAGGCTTAGCTTTGTCTAAATTTTTTCCTTTTGTTATAGATATTGTTGTTCACGCGTACTTAATTTCGAGAAAATGACAAATGCCATATTTCGCGAGAATTTGCTGAAAAATGGACTCAAAAGTTATTAAATGTCACCAAATTGTAATCATCATTTTAAAAAAATCCGTCCTTCACGATCGACAATAAGGTGTTCAATCGAGAAAGCATCAATACTTAGAACAAAACAAGTAACAAAACACGAACGATGTTCGGTTGAAGTCTTTTTAGTACAGGATGTACTATTGTGAAGATGTATTGTGGAGTCGTCCGCGATAACACCCTAGCACCCTAACACCCTAACACCCTGACACCCTAACACCCTGACACCCTAACACCCTAAGCCGTAAACTTTGATAATCGATTAATTAATTAATTAATATTAATTAATAACTCTTGCGTGGAGCACGCGTGTACACCACGCAAAACGTGGGTTATCTATCTGCGTTATTATTACAAGTATTTAGCAAAATATATATTTGTTTCTGGCAACGCTTTGCTCTCCTTGTGGTAGCTTTCTTTCTAGAATAAGGTGCTTACATGTAATTCACCGTTTTACGCATGCGCTTAAGCTCTGTAGTGCATTACTAACAACAAGTACAATGTAAATGAGGTAGATAACAAAACAGTTTGGT